ACGACCGCACCGACGATGTGTTCGCTGCCATCATCAATACATTACAGACACATTCACTCAATTTCCAACTATCCTTCTCCTCGTTTTTCTTCTTTGTTCCCGCCAGCGAACTTTACATTGAATTTAGTTAGGAAAATAATATAACATTACATTACTAAATCCATCGCGTGAATATCCTTTTGCGGTTTCAAACTAAACACCTGCAAATTACCTGCAAATAACAATACCAATTCTCTCTCATCGAGCATTTAAAAAAAAAATTCAACATAAAAAGAAAGCAACAAATTCCAGTATTAAAATAATCAGTCTTGCACTGGAATAATCTAGAAAACTTTCAAAATCGTAAAAATGTAATAATCCAAAAAAAAAATTATAAATACTTATTAATACTTTAATCTGAAATTTGTAGTTTTCTTTATCGACAACCCCTTAAGATAATTACATCATCGAACACTCGTATGAAAGCTGAATGTCTCAGCTTTCCAACGAGCCTATTGGCATCTTCGTACTGTCATCGAGTCGCCTTCTATGAGCTGTAGAAGTTGAAAAAACAGAGAAACGACGTTTCTTTTTCACTCTTTTCAATTTATCATGGATTTCTCAACAACCTCTTAAGATAATTACATCATCGACCACTCGTATGAAAGCTGAATGTCACAGCTTTCTAACAAGCCTATTGACATCTTGGTACTGTCATCGAGTCGCCTGCTATGAGCTGTAGAAGTTGAAAAAACAGAGAAACGACGTTTCTTTTTTACTCTTTTCAGTTTATCGTAGATTTCTCGACAAACCCTTAAGATAATTTCATCACCGAGCACTCGTATGAAAGCTGAAAGTCTCAGCTTTCCAACGAGCCTATTGGCATTTTGGTACTGTCATCAAGTCGCCTGCTATGAGCTGTAGAACGTTTTTTTTTGTATTTTTTTCAGTTTTTACAGTTTTTCGTGCATTTCTCAACAACCCCTTAAGATAATTATATCATCGACCATTCGTATGAAAGCTGAATATTTTTCCTTTCCATCAAGTCTATATACATCTTCGTGCTGTCGTCGAGTCGCCTGCTATAAGCTGTAGAAATTGAAGAAAATAAACACATTCTCAACATTTTATACGTAACACAGAAACGACGATTTTCTCGTGATTTTTCACTCTTTTCAGTTTATCGTAGATTTCTCGACAACCCCTTAAGATAATTTCATCACCGATCACACGTATGAAAGCTGAAAGTCTCAGCTTTCCAACGAGCCTATTGGCATCTTGGTACTGTCATCGAGTCGCCTGCTATGAGCTGTAGAAGTTGAAAAAACAGAGAAACGACGTTTCTTTTTTACTCTTTTCAGTTTATCGTGGATTTCTCGACAACCCCTTAAGATAATTTTATCATCTACCACTCGTATGAAAGCTGAATGTCTCAGCTTTCCAACGAGCCTATTGGCATCTTGGTACTCTCATCGAGTCGCCTGCTATGGGCTGTAGAATTTGAAAAAACAGAGAAACGACGTATCTCTTTCACTCTCTTCAGTTTATCGTGGATTTCTCGACAACCCCTTAAGATAATTACATCATCTACCACTCGTATGAAAGCTGAATGTCTCAGCTTTTCAACGCGCCTAAACCTATTTTACATTTTGGTTAATTTTTTGACAAGCGCTTAAGATTTTACATTATTTCAACGTCAAATATTTGCAGGTAAAAAAAAGTTCCCTAAAGCAACACATTTTGTAAAGTATCGTTGACATGCAATGTAAAACATTTGTTTAACGCAATAGAAACAATATTGGACTACGTCAATTTATCCAGCGAACACGAGACCGCAAACGTCACAAGCGCTTTATGTACGAGAATAGAATTCAGAATCAAAGCGAAATACATATTCGATCTAAATCAGACATTTATAAAAAAAAAAATAATAAAAATATTAATAACACACCAGTAACTGATATTTTCCGTTCGGATTTCGAATGCCTTTGCTGCGGCATTCCAATTCATCGAAAACAAGCCAGACAAAGAGTAATTAGTAATTTAGTTAATTGCAGAAATCCCGGTTTATTGAAATCCCGACCGTGTTTACATACGAAACGCATTTATGATTTGCATCCCGCAAACATCAATAGCCATCGACGGTGGAACGACGGACGAACGGTCCACGCGGTCCACCTCCAACGAAAATACCTTATTAACGCGTTTCGAATTAAAGTTCAGCGCGCGCGCTTTTGATCTGACTGCAACAATAACAAACAAACAATCAAACAAAAAAAATAGTAGTTAATTAGCCGAAACGCGCACAGATTTTATTAATCATCATCATGAACAACATTTAAATGTCATGCAGGTTCCGGCCTTTGCGTCAACCCAATCATCGTCATCGTCATCGCGCGATCCTCGAACGCAATCATCATCGACGAAATTCAATCTATGGACAAACAGAAATACGATTTCGAATTACAAAAAAAATATAATATATATAAAGCAGACTTGTAATTATCCGTACACACGTTTTAATCATAGTAAATTTAGTTTCAATTTCCATATTCGATATAGTCTTCTGAAAACACGCGACAATCTTTGGACATTAGTTTAAAATTTCATAATTACAATTTTAGTTTATTCTTTATAAATCATCTTCAATTTGGAAAATATATCCTTTCTGTTTTAATGATTCAAATTATAATTATTTACTTTTGTACGTGAATTCCACGAAAATCACCATTTTTACAAAACAATTGTATTATTTATTACTTCAGTTATCTTTTTTACTATTGAATTACCGTAGAAATCGTAGTTTTTGAGAAGTACACGTCTTTGTCAGGGAATTACACAAAAATAAGCATTATCACACCTTTAATTATCATTATTTCTGATCTAAATAGTCGCTGGTAAATTTTGAGAAATACCTTTAAATAACTTTAACTTTAAAGAAAAACAATTTCATTGTTATTCGTAATGATGTTATATAAATGAATCAACATAAAAAGAAAGCATCAAATTCCAGTATTAAAATAATCAGTCTTGCACTGAAATAATCTAGAAAACTTTCAAAATCATAAAAATGTAATAATTCAAAAAAAATAATTTCATCATCGACCACTCGTATGAAAGCTGAATGTCTCAGCTTTCCAACGAACCTATTGGCATCTTGGTACTATCATCGAGTCACCTGCTATGACCTGTAGAACGTTTTTTTTGTATTTTTTTCAGTTTTTACAGTTTTTCGTGAATTTCTCAACAACCCCTTAAGATAATTATATCATCGACCATTCGTATGAAAGCTGAATATTTTTCGTTTCCAACAAGTCTACATACATTTAAGTGCTGTCGTCGAGTCACCTGCTATAAGCTGTAGAAATTGAAGAAAATAAACACATTCTCAACATTTTATACGTAACAGAGAAACGACGGTTTTCTCGTGTTTTTTTCACTCTTTTCAGTTTATCGTGGATTATCATTATTTCTGATCTAAATTGTCGCTGGTTTGTCGCTAAATTTTGAGAAATACCTTTAAATAACTTTAAACAATTTCATTGTTATTCGTAATGATGAAGGAACAGGATGGAAATTTGTGGGTTTATCTTATCGGCACATCCACCGGTAATAACTTTAATAATGACGATTTTTGAGCGGATCAAAAGTTGATGATGGTATTTCATGTAATTTTATGGTCTCTGATTTTTCTAACATTTGTGCTCGGTTCTGTGTTGTTCCGTGAGAAGCGAACCATCGGGTATAATTCAAGCATGACTCGGGAAAATACATATACACATATATATAACAGAAATAACATGACGTGGAGATGAGGAAGAGGACAAAGGGAGCAATACATTGGTGACCTTTAGAAAGGGGGAAACCCGTATGATCTTCTCATTGTTCTTATTAAAAATAACTTGGAACAGTCGCACATTTCACGTTTTGTCTCCTAGATACTAGTGGGTGGTGGGTTGTAGCATAGAATTATGGAACAATGCATGAAAATTGAGAACAGAAATGAGTGTGTAGGGTCAGGGACATTGAGAGAAAAAGAAGTGTGCCACGTTAATTACAATCAGTCAGAATATAATGGTGAATGAGCAGCACACAATATGCAGTCAAACACGGGAGCATCGGAAACGCGTTGACTAATTATTACGTTACTAATTTTAACTGTAACTATAATTGGCCGCAGCGTTACATATTAATTAGTTACAGATAACTGGGCACACTCGCATCGTAGCAACCGAGAGAGAAAAAAAAATAAATGCACCAACTAGCGTGCGTTTGTTTTATCAACAAAAACAAAAACTAGGCAACATCCAGGCTACTTGATTTTTTTTCTCCTTTGATCCTTGATAGAGACAAAGTGGCAAAAATTGAGAAAAGAAAGGACGCGGAAGGAACGAAGAACTGCGTGTTACCGACGCCGCCTCTCCGGAAAATCCATATTTCAATGTGGGCCATTTAAATTAATAGACGCTCGACGTCGTCAGAGATCACACCGACCCGCTGCCAACTATCGATTGTCTTAATAATTGATGGATGTACCCTTCTGTCCCAGATATATCTCGAAATGCTGAAAGAATCGACTCGAATGCGTCGAAGGAAATTACCGATTCCACCGACACCTGACGGCATTTCCATCTACTAATTGGAAAACGGTAGAATCACCAATCAATTTCGAATATTCATAAAAGAATAATTGGTTGCCTACAAATCAGTATTTATTCAACGCCATCTATCAACATTAAAAATATTTTATAATAACTAGAGTACCTTATGCAACTAATCACAACAGTGAGGCTTTTTTTTTAGTTTATATTAATTCAAATTACAACCTTACCATGTGTAACAATATATTAATCAAAATAATTAAGAATTGTTTTTATCTTCATTATGAAAATACAGAGAATTGTGTTATTTTGAAGCTGTAAGTCGTGAGGGTGGTTTATTAATATATGCAACCAGTATTACCCTAAGAGGTTTGCAAATACACTTAGATGTGCTCACAACTTTATGTCAATATTAGTTCTCAGAGCGTCCGTTTTAATTTGATCTGCGAGTAAAGTAAATATTGATATTGTTTAATGTAAATTTACTAATTGTAAGATAATATGCAAGTGTCCTCGATCGTAAGAACTAATTTTTGTTTTTGTTTTTCAGATCATATTGGCGGAAACATTGTACGAGTATGATTTAAATATTGTAAAGCTGTTTATTAATAGGTTATTTACGTTCATTATCCATGTAAGTGTAATCGCACCTTTTAATTTAAGTTTGTTAAGAAATCTATTATACTCGTGCATTATTGTTAGAGATTTTAAGAGTGTTTATATCAAAAAATCCATTGATAACATTACTTTTCAATTGCACATAATGCAGAATGTTCTAACATGATATCGTTAAATTATATAAGAAATTGTTGTTTTTCTTTTTTAGATTATGAGATTATGTTTAAAGAAAGAGGAAACTGCTGAATGTTGGAAGTGATGTACGTAAGATGTCGCGTGTAGGCGCGTCCGTCCTGCTGGAGTTGCAATCCCACCCGCCGACGCCGGACGTCGAACAACAGCGCGCGGTTTCCTGCGCAATCCAATGCGAGATATCATGTAAAGTGTGCACCGCATTCAGAAGCGAGAGGCCGAATCAATACATTTAGGTCAACCGAATTTCCAACTGGAAAGACACCGGAGTTGCGGCGGACGATATGCGAACGCAGCCAACAGAAGGTCCGAGGCGATCGTGAGTTGCGTGCAAACAGCGTTTTATTTTTTAACCAGTGCATCAAGTATCCCATTATCTCCAAAATAGTAGTAAGACGAGCAGCGAGAAAGTGGAAAAGTAGCATGAAAATGGACGTGGCGGTGCCGCCGTTCGACGCGGAACATAACGCGAGGCCTGACGACAAGCTCGGTGACATAACAGAGCCAACTATAAACAAGACGGCCGACGAACCTGCTGCCACCGACGTCCCCGTCGAACAGGAGGAACAAGAGCAAGAGCAGGATGAAGAAGACGAGGAGGAGGAGGAGGAAGAGGAGGAGCAGATAGCATGCTCGCAGGAAGAGCCGATCGAGCAAGCCAGCAGTGTCGGAGTCGAGGAGAACCACGAAGAAGATGAAGACGAGGTGGAGGAGGAGGAAGAGCAGGAGGTAAAGCCAGAAGCCGATCAGCAGCAACAGCAGGAAGTCGAGGAGGAAGAGGAGACGGAAAGCTGCAGTCTCCTCGAAAACGCGCTCAAGAAACGCACCGAAGAGGAAGAGGAGGACGAAAGGTAAGAAACACAACCCAACAACCATTCATTTTCTTTACTGTCGACCGTTTCGTGAGCAAGTTTCCCAAATGACAAACTGCAGGATTTGTTATTGTAGGTTATGTTTTGACCGCTTCCAATTGACAGATTATTCATTGCGTTGGCACCAGTGTCAGCATGAAGCAAATGTCATTTTCAAATTTCAGACAACATAAACTAAATATTAACTAAAATTACTCCACATACATTTAAAACCCTCACAAATATTACATGGTAATTTAAAACTTAATCCTGATTTTGACACACTGACCGGATGATAAAATATAATAATAATAATAATCAAGTTTATTGACCAAGAGAATACAAAGAAAACAAAATAAAATAAATTTACAATGAGTACATATAATCAAAATGCGTTTCAAATATCTAAAATAATGCAGCGTCTTTAGTAAAAAATAACAATTTAAGTTGGTATCGGTGAGACAAATTCGAATACAGTGGAACCTCGCTTAACGAGCAAAATGAATTGGTTTGCATAACGAGTGACGATGAGAAGATTGTCGATTTTCTTTGTTATCTTTGTTTAAAGCGGACTATACTTTGCAAATATAATTTGTGTCCAACCATTATTATAATCTATAAACACACTATGTACCGTCGTTAGTGGTCATCTTAGTGTTGTTTCAGATCACAAAATTTCCAAACTTGTGTTCAGACATGTTATTTGTGATTTTTTTGTGCAAAATTTAATAACATTGGCATGTCTCCGAATTAAAAGCTAAAGAATAAAAATAACCATAGATATGAAAAGCAAAATCATGGAAAATTGAGACCAAGTTTTTCGGATTAAACTCGTTAAACGAGGTTCCACTGTAATATCTTGGCATCGACATTTGAAAATAACTTGTTATTTTTCTTTTTTTTGTGGTTTGTTAATGCCATAACAAATTTCGCTTCGATATGGTCTAGTTCTATATTTAACAGGTTATATATTGTTTAGCTCAAATTCTAGGACCGTGACTCATCTGGCCGACTTATTATTGCGAGTTTGCAACTCGAAACTTATTACTTTATAAATAACCTCGTTAAAGGGAAACTGAACTGAACTTGATTCAAGCTGAATTTCATTGCATAATGAGATATTTGAATATGAGATTTAACATATACGAAATGCAATTGCATTTTATTGGATTGCTTTAGAAAGTTTTTGCTGCATGAATATGTACAATATACGGATGTTGAGTCTAGCAAAACTCTTAATATTTGGAAATGAAGATCTAACATTTTTTGCGAATAAACACATCGTTATTCGATCAATTTATTATTACTATAGACTATGACTAACTGGAATGGAGAGTGCAGCTACTAGGACGGTGAAAGTAATTCGAAGAAACCCGATCTAAGTCTAAATATATATATTAGACTGTGTGCGCCCAGCGTTTTCAGAGTCTCTCTTCGATGCAAGTGGCGGAAATAAATAAAAGAACACGACGGTCGTTTCGCAATCGGCTCTTTGTATGTACGGGCCTGACGAAGTGAAAACGCTTTTTATGCTTCGAGGAGACGAGAGGAGAATACGTGTGAAAGTTACCGCGATTTATCAAACGCCATTTCTTGTCGCTTACTTATTTTTGTTTACGTTTTCCTCGATTGTGATTTCATTCGACCCGTTAATCCACGTCGCTCGACTTCGTTCTGATGTGCAATTCAAACCGAACAAATCAAAATTAATTTTCACAATGAAATGACAATGAAAATCAACTAGACTCTCAATCTCTTAATCTCTTTAATTTAATAAAACAATAATTAGTGCATAACGAGTCTTAACATAACGAAACGATAAATTTATGATCATAATAAAACTGTAGTAATTACTGATTAAATTTCGAAGGAGTGCGGATTATTATTTGCCATTAATTGATACTCGCCTTTGACCTCTGAAAATTAGTTTGATTGCATCGCATTCCCGTTTTATTTTGGATGCGAAGTTCGTTATTTCGCAAACGCTCCTCTCTCTATTTTTATTTCGAAAATCTCTTTGTCACCTCTAAACTAATGTTCTTGGCAGCAATTTCCACTAAACGTTCTCGTACAACTTCTTCCTACTGCACCAGCAAATTCGATGTTTCAACGCTTACATAGTTAATGTATTATTTTAAATATGGTCTTCTAAGAATAATACAATTATAAATGAATTAAATTTGATGGGTCATCGACATTTGTTTTAAGTAAAACTTCTGTTTTTGAAATTATCTAATATTTAATAAATTATTGTTGCAATGTAAACTTATGAAAGTGTGATGAAGTAGAAAGGATGTGTAATGGCGAAGTGCGTTGAGTCACTCAGGTAAACGTTTTTTCCTTGTTATTAGCATGATTTTGTGTGCGAGTGCCTGGAGTAGAAAGAGGAAAGAGAGGACAAAAAAAAGGTGACCAGCTCCTCCGGTTCTCTGTGTCCCAGTGACGTCACGGCGGCTTACAATGGCGCATCTGTGAGGCAGCGGCCCATACCCACCACTCGACCGAACCCATCCCTCCTAACAATGGGACGGTTAGATTTGGTCGGCTGGAAAGTCTTCGGAATTGGGGGATATTTTCCATCCCTCAATCCCGAAGACTTTGCAGTTGACCCAACAACGGTAAACGAGTGCAGTACACGTTCACGCCTGAAAGTGCACAGGTCTCGGTATCAGTATCAGTCGGTGTTGGTGTTCGACATTCGCAACATGCCCAAGTGTTACGCTACAAATTGCACCAATTATTATGGGAAGACTCGTGGTAATCCGAAGGTGTCCTACCACATAATGCCTTCATCGGCGATCTTGGCTTCGAGATGGGCGAAAGCGTGCACCGGTGTCAGTGAAACTCCACCGAGATACATGAGGGTGTGCAGCGATCACTTTTCGGACGGCTGCTACCAGCGAGATCTGCAGCACGAGCTGCTCGGACTGCCACTGAGGAAGAGGTTGAAGCCGGACTCGGTGCCCGACATGAACGTCTTCGTCGAGCCCACGCCCGATCCCCAGCCCAAGATACCGATGCGCTCGAGCATAAGGATAGCGAAACGGGAGTCCCTGGAGAACATCTCCGATCTCCAGTCGCCCAAAATCAAGAAGACCAAGAGCAATTTTAAGCATATAGAGCGCGAAAGACTCGCCAGGAAGATCAAGTACATGAAGCAACTGCAGCTGCAGTTCCAGAAGAACGAGGCGATCGCCGACGAGCACATTGTCGTTTCCCCCAAGAACGAGCCCAACACAAGGTACCATCACATTCTTTACTCAACTTCAAACTTGACTTTAGTTTTCTACAACTACGTAAATACGAGTTTTAGAAACTTAAAATTGATTTGCATTGTATAATTGCAGAAAACGATTATATATTTCATTGAAATTTGCAACAGAAAAATGTCAACATAATTTATGAGTTTTTACGAATGAAAGTAGCGAAACACTTGTGGGAATTTTGTCAAATTGACCTACTTGATTATTTGCCAAAGTAATCAAGATAATTAGAGTCAGAAGAAGACGTTTAGATTAGAAACTAAAGTTTACTTCCTTTTATATAAAAGAAATCTGAGAATTTTACCAAGTAGTAAAATTGTATCCTTTTTCGTGGAATATTATAGACCGGCGTTTCTTAACCTTTTTTGTCGCGCAACCCGCCATATTTCCAAGTATTTCTGCTACTATTTATAATACTTCACTTAATATTTATGTTATATATACTTTTCATTGTAATTTGTTGCTTCGAACTAATTGAAATCTGCGCGAAACAAAACTTTTGTGTTTGCTGTTTTCGTTCAAACGCATGGAATCGTCGTCGTCGTCGTACGTTTCCTTTCAGACTGCGCCCCGGGGGCCTTGATCCTTGACACGGGTCAACAATCTTCCGATGCACCTGAAGGTTGTAAAATTTTTTTCAGCAAATTCTGTAGCGCTTATTCATTTCTTCTGCGAAACTATTTTTTTTTATCATCCGTACAAGGATAAATACAACATTATGCACGCATTCGAATAACGCTGCAGCAGCAGCAACAACAACAACAGCACGCTGATGAAATCCAACATTCTCCTTCGTCTTCTACTTCTGGTCTTGAGTGGATAGGCGGCTATTTTCGGGAACGTTCTCTTATGTACATTGTGCAATGTAAAACAGAAATTATGTTAAGTTTGCTTTTAAATTTGGGTCAGAGTTCTTGTAAACGAATCGCGCGCGTATTTTTAAACGCTCGCTCGCGTCTGCATATACACAAAATCAATTTTTATTTCACATGTGTGTACATTTTTTTTCTTCTCGCTTTCCTCCGGTTCTTCAGCCGTTAAAGAGGAAGCTATAGTGCGCGGGAAAAGTTACATCTGCTCAACGATTGCAGGTATATGAGAATATCGTGGTTCGCACATATTCGAGGATGTCGAGATTGTCTTCGTACACATGAGAAACGTATTTCAGGCAGAAGGATTTGTTATTGAATTTTCAAGAAAAATGTTTACGCGAATCGAGTCATGCATATTGACTAACTGACCTTCCTGCAATTGGAATACGTAAATGCGAAACTGCCTTGTTTTTCATTTTCAACTGTTATTCCTTGAAGCGATCTAATGGAAACTAAACAATCGCTGAAAATGAAATGCATCGCGTTAAGATTCGTTTGCAAAGTCGATGGATCGCGCGGTGACTGTGAACAAACAAAAGAAGAAGTAGGTCTCTCGACCAATCGCTGAGTGAGTAAGCGCACATGGCGCACTGGATATTCCCGAGCCGCGTGTGTAGTAAACACCTACAGTTGTAATTGAAGCGAGGAGCTATTTCGGATCCGGCCATAATCTTAAAGTACATAATTTTTACGGTTCGAATTATCTGGTGGTCTGTGGGTCATTGACGCCATTCCCGATGCCAACGAACTCGTTGCGACGACCCATCCATTCCCGGATGAACTTTGGTTTCTATTTTGTTACCCAAGAAGATTTCCGAAATGTTTACAATCGCATTAACATCTCTCTCTTCTCTCTCAATTTATCGCTATTAACTTTTATTTGTTTCTTCTCTTCACACGAAACATCATACGTCTCTACAATTTCATTTCGAATCTACAAAGTGTGGTAAATGCAAATTGCATATTAAGGTTAAACAAACAGTGCGAGTTTGTTGTTGTCTATTATAGAAGGTGGAAACATGTTTGTTTCTCTCTTTCTCTCTCACTTGGTACACCTTTTTTTTTTTGGGGTAAATTGATAAAGGCTCTTTTGTATCTTTGGTTTATTTTAGAACGTTGTGCAATGAAATGTGTGGGTTTTGATAAGATAAGGAAATGGGATGGATGGAAGTGTGTTTGTGCATGGAGGAGAGAGAGAGATGGATCGAATCCAGCTAATTGTGAACTAGGCGTAAACATGGCGCAGTGAGCTTTATGCTACGCTTAGATGTTGCAATTGTGTGTTTGCATTTATGGCACGAAAATGAAATACCCTTGAGGATGAAGAGGTTCAGGAGGAATATGATGTGGTGGAGGAGGAGGAGGCGGTTGTGGCGTCGTCGTCGTCGTCGTGCGAAATGTAATAATAGCCCAAGAGCCCGGCTATTGCTCGTACGCGTTTGCGAGTTTGCCCTTGTGCCACTTTGGGCTTCTCTCGCTTCTCCTAGTGTGTAGTCACAGTCAAGTGGCGTATTTCTCTACCTGCCGCCGTAGATTACTTGCTTGCTTGCTCACTTGGTGTCTCTCTCTCACCACCGTGATGGTGCTGTGGTGGTGGATGGTTCAAGGTTTCGCCGCGACCGACTCCATCGAGTAAACCTTGACACAATAGAGACGTGGAGTGAGTGCGTACATCGTGTGCGGGGGTGAGATGGAGAGAGACAGAGACAGTGACCATCTACCACCTACCTCCTTCTCTTCTTCGCTCGCCCCGATGCACCGAATTTGAACTGAAACGAAAAGCAAAAAATGCAATTGCAGCCGATCGTCATCCAATAAAATCGGACTCAATGAAATTGTTTACTTGCCCCCAAGGAAATCTTCCATCGGCGATTGCCGACCTTGTCCCATTGTTCGAAACCACCTCTTCGAGGTCTCTTTCCTCAGATTAATCTGGATGAAAAGCCATATGGTTCAACCATCCAACAACATTCAGTACATTTCAATCTTTTAAAAAATTCAACAAATTAGTCACAGATATGATTTATTTTTTTCTTACAAACTATAGCTGAAATCAAATAGATCACTTGATTAGGTAGTTCCAATTTCAATAGAATTAAGGTCAAAGATTATTTTACATGATCGTTTTCAATAATTGAGAAAACGTTTCAAATAGAGACGTGAAAGAAGTTGAGTTCTAAAGTTTGGACGATTTCGATTCGCGACGTAGAGTCGAAAGTCCAGTCCGTTAGTTTTCCAATAATTGGCGCGCGCGTCAAGGTCGCGAACTGCAAAATTCGATCGCAAAAAAATTAAAGACCGAAAAAAAAAAACACATGTAATAATATTATGAGAGTATTCGCAAGTTTGCAATTGCATTGTATTTCTTTATTTCATATTTTGCAAATGGTTCAAGGACTTGCAATTAAGGACAAAGTTCCCTTAGCGCACCGCACCGATCGATGTAGGACGCACAATTAAGGACAAGGTTTCTTCGTTCGCTCGCTCGTTCACTCGACTTTACAGACAAACAAAATCGCGCAGACTAAAGTTCAGACAACTCGAAGACCGTCCGATCTAATTAGTTTATCGATAAGTGTATCACTTGTGTAAATATATTTTGTATTTATTGGTATATGAATTGTAGGAGAGATTGATTCAAATTGTTGATTCTGAAACGTGTTATTAAGTTGAGCGGATTAATACGCACAAATTGAGCGCTTTGGAGATTTTAAGTAGTACTACTACTACTAGCACGATCGTAACGTGAGAGCTACGACGATAAACAGTAGGAAATGGATGCAGTAAAATGAGATTTATTGGAATTTTAGCGGTTGAAGTAATTTCACTAAATTAAATCAATTATATAGCATTCTATAAATAAGTGAGCCTTGAAAACAAAAGAACATCATCAACTTCGTCATCGATAAATAACTTGTTGCAAGAAAAATAAATATGTTGCTGCTTATTAATTAGCGTACGTTTCGCTTCTCGTCCGACGTGTTTTGCTATTTATTAGGGGTTGTTCGGAAGCAACAATCGATACGATTCGTTCGTTCGTAAATAGAAGTCCGTGGGTCGTAATTCTGCACGAGGGGAGACGAACACCATCAAACAACCCTCCACCCTCGAAGGGGGCCACGTTTAATTTCTGGGGGTTGAATTCGCGACGAGTGGAGCTGCATTCATATTGATCGCGCAATGGTAACTCGCCTCCGCTGCTCCGTGCACTTCTCGATCTTATTAAAAGTCCACACACAATCGACTTCATCATCATCGTCTGTTGACATTAATTGTATGTAGAAATACTAAAAATATCGTAAAGAGAGAGAGAGAGAGAGAGAGTAACACACACGGAATTATTTAAAGCGTCTGTTGCCATTGGTAACTGCCAAAGTTGAATGTCATTCGTTACGTGGAAAACTCTTTCTCCACACACACACACACACATTATTGGTTTTAATAAGCTTTAATCGTTTTTTCTCGATTTCGCTCGAATCGGACTCGCTTTGCTTTGGAATTGCCAAAGTCAATATTTTCGCTCCGGTCGAGTGTAATTTTAGAGTGGAGAGAGAGAGCAAGAGCAAAGAAAAAAAAAAGGAGTTCTACTTCCATTCCATTCACGTTGAAACTGTGTCGTTCTTGCGACTCGAAACGGTAACAAAGCGTAATTATTTCCGCAGATTCGCAACAATGCAATCGACTGATCGAATGAAACGTGCATTTATCATTTATGCACTTGACTCCAACAATGCCCCAGTTCCATTTCGCTAACGTAATAATTATACTTTCTTACTTTTCAATTAAACGAGAATCCTTAGTAATTAATCATTTTTACCTGGTAACTTTAGTAATGGAAATGTATTAATTAAGAAAATTAACAACCAAAAACAATTAGATGAATGGGATAACCAAATTTTTTATATATGCATGAATCTTAGTCACTGTTGCTTAGTGAAATGAATTAAACAATATTGATTTCAAGTCGAAAGAAATAATTTGCAATAATTATATTTGAAATGAAAATTTTCATCACTTTCGTCTATATTCTATAGCAGCGGTCGGGGAACCGGGCTAAATTACCCAAAATGGGGTAAAAATGATTTTTTTTTGGGTAATAGGGAAATTTTAAACTCAGAGAGCGGTTCTCTGACTACTTTTCAGATCTT